GTTACGCAAAATGAATAAAAAAAAAGGAGAAAAAAAAAAAAAAAAAAAAAAAAAAAAAACGCCAAAAATATGATGTCTTCCGCATTCCCTTCTTTCTTTCTTCCTTCCTGTCTTTCCTCCTTTCCTCCTTTCTCTCTTTCTCTCTTTCCCTTTTTCCATTTCTCTCTTTCTCTTTCTCTTTCTTTTATCCCCCCAGTTCCCCAGTTAACCCCGGTTTCGTTTTAATCCTGTATGGTGCCTGTCATACCCATTCTAGAATAAACTCTTTGCTCCTCCCAAAACAGCTTTACGCTTTTGGCCCTCAATAAATTTACTAGTAGCCTTTGCAAACTCCGCAGTAGTATTCTCTAAATTCTGCATATTATCTTGGAAATTTTGTAGATTTTGGGTTCGGGCGTTGAAGGCATTGGCCATGTTGCCGAAGACGCTGTTGCCGTTACCTGCTGTTGGACTCTTGTCGCCTCCGTTGGCTTTCTGTTCGGCCCTAAGTTGCTTTTGAGAAACTGGACGATCTGGACCACCAATTAGAAGGTCAAAGTCCTCGGCTGAGATGTGCTGCGTTCCGCTAATCCATTGGAGACCGCTGATGGTGGGGCGAGCTGGTAAGAGGATGTCCGGATTGTACAAAATGTCCTTTGGTTGAGTGTGCCTATTGTGAAGAAATGAACGTTAGTGATATGTCGGGATGAGGTATGTTTAAAAGTCAAAACCTACAGTTGCTTTCCGGTTCCCCACACGTAGAACAATCCGATTTCAACATGGCTGGTCCATGCAGTGATAAACCCTTCTCGAGTGATGTGGCAATTCGACAATTTTGCACGGTCCACCTCACTTGGTAGGTCGAATGTACCCAGTTCCTTCAGTGCTGGTACCGAGAATACTCTGACCTTGCCGGTACTGTACACGCAGACCAAGACGATGCCCTTATCGGGTAGTTCGACGACACCTGCTTTGACACACGTCATTTCGTCCCAGGACTTGTGGTTTTCCTTTTCCTCAGGAGGAACGATAATCCTGGCTTGGTTCTGTGTAACGCAAATTAAGAAGCCATTGATGAACTTTGATTGTCGCAGACCAGCAACAGCGTCCGGCGTCGCACGTGCGGAGGCTCCAGTGTCAGAGTTGATTGGGATCAAAGTTAGGGGTGGGTTATCGATCGGGTGGCCTCCAGCGCATTGAACCGTGTATCGAGAACCGTCGGGTAGAATTCTGAATGTCATTACATTCTTAAGGTTTGTTCCAACATGGAGGCAGATGCTAGAAAATTCTAGGGGGAAGTTAGCCTACGAACTTATAAATGGCTACGAGGAGCCTAGGAAAGGTGTTCGTACCATCGTCGCCAATGGTCATGACCGAGAACGCCATGGTAACCACATATTCAGCCTTCTCCTCCTTTTCGTCTTTCGATGAGCTAGGGACACTGGTTTTCCTGAAGCCGCCAAAACTCGTGCGTTTTGCTTGGGATGGGAGTTCCTTCGAAAAACTTGCGACGGCTACACTACCACGTTTGATATCTTTGGCAAGGGAGGTTAAACTGCTTCTTTTGGCGGCCGCTTTGGCAACCTCCTTGATCCGGTTGACGTCCTTGGTAACGGTACTAATGACGATGGAGTAAATAACGGTAGGGCCCTGTCAAGGAAATTAAAGTTAGCAAATGTATGCATGTAAGCCCTAAGACTTATTTTGTGGTGGGAGCATACTCTAAGGTCGACAATGGTTAGAGTGCCGTTATCGTAGCCGATGGCAACGAATCCGATATCACTAACAGCTGTTGTCTTAACAGCTCCGGAACCGGCATCCATAAGATATAGTGGTAGAAGTCCCTCCTTCAGTGTTGGATCTGCTTGGCTAGCAATATCTCGTAGCTGGCCGAAAGGCGAAGATTTCATCCCCACAGCTGGGCTCGTCGGGCTCTGGAGGCCTCCCATGTAGCTCTTATTACGACCCCATCGGTAGATAACTACCTCACCCGATTCCAATCCAACTGCCATTTCTCCGGTCGCCTGAGATGCGGATACTGCTGAGATTTTAACGGCACCAGGTTTACCAACGACGACTCCGAGATCAACCTCGAGGGCTTCCGGATTCTCGATGTCATCGTTGTGGCCGAGGTCCCAAATCCTGACTGTCGCATCCTTGTGAATAGTATATGCAATGCTCCTATCCTGGTATCTGCGGGTCATCCTCGTAGCGCCTGCGCCTCCCTTAAAGTATGCTGCCGGCTTATCCCTTATAGCGGTCATACCGAGCCACTTCTCACGACTAATCGGAGCGACTTCCATAGAGAAGGGTTTCGGGTGGACCATGGCCATGCTAGGGTGCATCATCCCAGCTGGGGATAGATATTCGCCGTCGGGGTATCGGAGGGTCGCAATGTCACCATTAGTGAAGAGGACCATGACAGCGGACGGGTCATGTGAGCCGGCATGGTATGGGGAGGTCTTTGGCAACATGCAGAAGTCGACAACGTCGATATTGTGCGGCACTGGCAAAAATCGCTGTCGCTTTGGGTTCCCTAGATGCTCCGTTATTTGCTTCCAAGAGGACGTAATGTTGTTCGGTGCGACTCCGAATTCGATCAATGTTAGACCCTTCGCAGCCATGCCGACATTATTACCACCAGATACTAGCAAGCATGTGTCGTCGATGTTGTTCGAGCAGCACCATGCAACCTTGTGGAACGGTTCTCTGAGTGTGAATGCAGCGCCCAATGCTGGTCCACCGCCAAAGCCAGCCATCACAGGAGCTGGGAGATGAACATCGAAGTCTTGTAGTGTCCTTGCGGTTAACAGTCTTCCGTCAGTCGTACTCCAGAAAGCCATGCATCCATCTTCGTAAGTCGTCAAGACAGTGGTACCGCTAGGATTGAATATGGCATTTGAAAGCTTCGGAGTTCGCAAAGTCTTGATAGTCGCAGGATCCATATCCGAACCAGGTGCACCGGGCTTTAGTTCGAATTTCATAGTGAAAGTAGCTTTATTCTGTTTAAGAGAGAATAGCTTAGCACCCTCTAAGTATGAAATTAAAAGAGTACCCAGGTCCCTAGGGTGCATGGCTATCGAGACGACCGGGAGAGAAACCGCCTTCGGGCTGTGTTCCCTCCATAAGTTCGGGATTTTGAAGGGAGCTGCTATATCCCTATCAAGATCGAAAACCACGATATCCCCACTCTGTAGCCCGATAAAGATGAAATCTGATGCTGGATCGGTGCAGATTGCAGAAACGGCTCCTGGCGGAGACCACGAGCATACGAGTGTATGTGTTGAAATATCGAAATGATGTAGTTCATGTTTAGTATCGACGACGAACAACCTATTATCGTGTATCCGTAGGTGTTTTGCTGAAGTCTTCTTCGGTAGAGCGTATCTGACTGATACTCGACCACGTCCGAAGACATATACGGCGCCGGGCGATGTATCCGTCTCATTCGTGCCGACCGCAACGAGAGACTGAACGGGATCATACGCCAGAGCCGATGGCTTACCCTCAAAGCCATATCTTTTGACCTATTTCCGTTCCCCGAAAATATTAGGATCTTGTTAGCCTCATGAATAAATATCCGAGAGTACATGTGCAGGCATTGGACCCATCGGCTCTGGGTGCCTAAATACAACAGACGGGCTATCCCACTTACGTCATCGAGCGCTAGGTCGTCATTCGAAATGGTCCCGGAAAGGTTGGTCTCGCCCTCACTTTTGCGTCGTAGAAAAGGCATTTTTCTGTCTTTGAGATCTAGCCTGCCTAACTTGTCGGCGAGTTCTGAGTTTTTGGAAGCCATCGTGGGGAAGGTGGGAGGGAAGGTTCCGAGAATGGGGTGTTTGTAGGACGAGACACCGAGTGGATGGTTGGCTGAGCCGCACGCCGAAACAATTAAAATCCGGCTATTAGGATTAAGAGAAGGTAAGCTACTTAAGCTAAGTACTCAGGTAAGTACGTACTTAGCAAGTATATATATATAAGAGACCAAGCCAAGTAGTAGGTTAAGTAAGTATCTACAGCTTGGTCGGCCGGGCCCTACGCGGTATTAAATAGTCGAAGCACAGAAATAAAATCGTGCAAACGACCCTTCAGCACGCCGCCCGGGCACTATTATAGTCTCCTTCCTTTCGGCACCTAATTAGATCCAACCATGCCGCATTTTCTGGCCTCCTCTGACTTCGTACTCCCAATGTGTCCAGCTGCCGTTATCTCTCGGATTCTCTTAACAGTGGTTTATGTACGGTGTCCCGTCTAGTGGTATAAAACCAGCAAAGGAGCGAAGGAAAACTGGCTTTTTCTGCACCTATTCGCATGCTGCTGCTCCACTATCGTGCTGAAATGTTTAGTGTTCCTATATTGGCAGAAGCAAAGACGGTATGTCGCTTACCCAAACTTGATCATGGTGCTTAGGTTTCCTTGTTATTTCTTATTCTCTTCGCTAATAATTTACGGGTATTGGGTGTCTGTGGTCCCCCCGTTGATTCCCTTTGTAGACATGGTGTTCACCGTAATATCAAGGGTCCTCGTTGGGCCGTGTTTCGAACTCGTACGCGGATTGCTACACGACAGTACTAAAAACCCACCTGAGGCTCTCCATGATCAAAGTTTGATCGAATCATGACCAGAAACATTCTTAAAGGCCCGTGGGTAATATTGCAATGCTAACACTATCTAGTGAAAGAGCCCCGAGACACTAGGCCATCATTATAGACTTTATGCCTATATCTCAGCTCGTAATCGTTGCTAGCCCCGTCATGTATGGACGTTGTACAGTACATCAAGTCCACTTACATTAGCCTTGCCTCTCAGAAGTGGGGTCCTATATGGTGAACTATAGGCTTGAACTACGGCAATGTCGCGGGAGAACGCCCCCAGTTTCGACGATTGGTGGCCTGTTGCAGCGTCCTCCATAACCGAGCGGAACAAGGTCCTGATATCTCGATCTTGACATGCTGGTGTCGAAGAATCGTGAAGGTTTATAATCGGTCTTTCCGACCCGTCGACATGGAACTGCCCTAATTGTCAGCGTGGCCGAGTGGTTAAGGCGTTTGACTCGAATTCTCTCTGAGTTGGACATCAAATGGGTTCGCCCGCACAGGTTCGAATCCTGTCGCTGACGACATACAATTATCTTTTTGCCCTTTTCCGCCCCAAACTTTGGGTCTGGGATGGAGTATATTTTTAAATTTTTTATTTCTATTTTTCGTTTGGCCCCACCTCGCGCGAACCACAATCAAAAACGGGACTAGTCCCCATGGACCTTGCCTTAGGGTTCCAGGGTGACCTGTGGGTCGGTGCAACTTTCGCCTCTCGACTTTTCAGACGACCAAAACCAAACAGGCAGTTGCAGCCACTGCGCTTTTGGCCCTGTTGGAATTTTGATACATGCGTTGACCCAAGTTTCGAAATGTTCAAGATATCTAGGCGAAAAGATAGCATCGGCTCCACGAGATCGTAAAGCATGCAATGCATGTCTGTGTCTGTGTCTGAATATTATCGCAGTCGCAGTTGCATTGTGTTCTCCTTGTTCCGTTGATTGATGTGAGACCGCCCCGGGGTTAAAGGTTTTAACATTTTCTTGCCCGTGGGAAATGAACCGCCTGCCATGGTCAGGCTCCGAAACTATAAGCAACATAATAATTATCCACTTTAGAAGGGAAATCTCATATAGTTACCTCGTGTATACGTACTTAAGCTTCTCAGCAATATTGCGGCATCGGATGCATGCTGATCTTCCTGTCGGCTTATCCCTTTGGGAAAGCTGGATATGATGGACTATGCCAGAGAAGCTAGAAGCCCTCTAAACTGGGATGATATTATGAGTCTACTAGCTAATTGGTTTTCCAATTATGGATCCTGACCCCCATCATCTCGAAAGCATTGTCCAAAACTTGATGGAACGCCATACCAATCACCTAAGTTGAATGCAAAGCCACTTGGCCTGCCGGTAAAATTCGAAATCAAACCCTTCAATCGCTATAAAGAACGTATCTCGGACTGCACTAACATTCATAAATGGCCAAGAACATGTGCAACATTGCTTCTTCAGCTGCAGGCATTCCTAGCGATTAATATCGCCCGAGGTTCTAAAAAAATAAAATATATCGTCGTAAAAACAAGCAACCTCCTAAAAAGGACCCACATTTTAGAAACCCTCATGCAAACAAATGACGAAAAACTTGATCCTGAATTTATTTATTTTTCCAAGCTTATGTATGTAGGTGCACCTGGCCTTGAAGCTACTAGCCCAGAGAGTTTAACACCGGTTGCTTCTGCCTGTTAAAGAAATCATTGGCACCGATGTGACTTGAGGTCTCCGTATCGGTCGCGAGTGCGGACCTGTCATGGTCCCTTCGGGGCAAGCCTCTTGCCAACTGACGTGATATCTGCTAGGAAGCTGGGACTTTATTTGGCTTGGGAACGTGTCCCCGCTCTGTCTGAGTTTTATATAAAAATTTTGAATCTTGCAGTGATTGGCCACAGTGCTGTGGAAACTAGGTTCTCTGCCACGATCTAAGTTACAACGGTTCCCTGTCTTCTTTCAGGGAACTTTCTCTCAGAGCATACCGAATAGGATACTCGATCATGTGTACAAGTGGGTCGTGTGTGATGGTGTTTACTAATTGGGTGGTTGATGTTCAGGTCCCACATGTGCACAACGGAACAAAGTCATGGGATACCAGTCTATTTTCGTATAGAAAACCGTTCGAACCTGTTTGTGATTTCGAGAATTGCTATAATTCTAGAAGGGTGAGGGGTAGCTATTACCTCGAGCTCGTGGGTCCTTCTTACTATACGCTAGCATCGGTCAGTATCCACCTGTGTGGGTAATAGCCACTTACGTACTTCAGGGCATGTCGAGCAGCATTTGGTATAGCTCCTTCGGCAATTGAGGACCCAGAAACGTTCATTAGCGGCGGTCTTCAGATCTGGTATTGAATTACTTAAGCATGTAATTTAGCGCGGTTCAAAGGAGAACTCGAAATAGATATGGTTATCAGGCCTGGAAAGTCCACACAAAGTGTAGAGGCTATTAGTGGCAACTTCTAGGAAGTCACGATACCAAGACGTTTCAATTAAGGCGCATGTCAGCATGGCGTTAAGCTAGATATTGAATTGAGTGCTTAGAATTGTTCGAACTCGGGGCGTCGACTGCATGCACGACGCATGCTTAACAATAATATATATAAGTTACACCGAAGCACAGTCGTACAGTGTCATGTTTCAAAGCTGTACTTCGCATAAACCGACCACTTCGGATCCAGACGCTTTTCGAAGCACGTATACGTGGACTAACAATGAGTAATTGTTAAATATTCAGTGGTCTTAATTTTTATATCTTGGAAATTGTAGTATCGTGTCAAATTTGGTGAGGGAATGTGAACTTTACGTAAATTTACCCATACTGGCACTAATCCGGCCCCAAAAAATCTGAATCCAGGCGACAGAATTGTCGAATGTCTGTTCTCGTTAGCATTGGCGTCTGATCCATGGCTTCATTCGGTCGGTGGCAGGGATGTATGCTGTTATACTGCATTATCGATAGTAGTTGGGAGCTCGTTCTGGCTCGGTGGTGGTGGTTCTGCAGGGGCAAACTACCACGGCCAAGTTGCAGCTACATCGGCCCTCCGATCCAGAAAATTTTACTTTACCCGCCCCGCCAAACGAGGTACCAACGTTAACCGGCCCCAATATTGCATCTGGAAAATTTTAAAGCTTCCCATCTTAAATTTTCCTTTCCTGCATTGTACCTTTAGTCCAGCAATTCAGCCAGAGAATTAATTAACAACCTGCAAAATGTCGACATACGCCTTATCCGAAGCCCACAAGGAGGTATGTGGGAGCTACCCCGCCATCTTGGTATCGACGGAATGCTAATTGGAAATGTGCAGTTGCTGGAAAAGCCTCTCAGGGAACTTGATCCCGAGGTGGCCCAGTTGATGGTAAGTCTCTAGCTCAGTCCAATTGGTATATACACATAGAGTGCAATGTCGGATTCTAATGCCTTGTGTAGGACCTTGAGATCAAACGTCAGAAGGAATCCATCCTCCTCATTGCCTCCGAGAACATCACCTCCCGCTCCGTCTACGATGCTCTTGGTTCGCCAATGTCCAACAAGTACTCCGAGGGTTACCCAGGAGCCAGATACTATGGTGGAAACCAGCACATTGACAGCATCGAGAGGTTGTGCCAGCAGCGTGCTCTCAAGGCCTTCAACTGCGACCCCGCAAAGTGGGGTGTCAATGTCCAGACTCTCTCTGGCAGCCCCGCCAACCTCCAGGTCTACCAGGCTCTCATGAAACCACATGATCGATTGATGGGATTGGATCTGCCGCATGGTGGCCATTTGAGCCATGGTTATCAGACTCCAGCTAAGAAGATCTCTGCCGTCTCGACTTACTTCGAGACCATGCCATACAGAGTGGATACCAACACTGGTATCATCGACTATGACATGCTAGAGAAGACTGCCATTCTGTACCGCCCAAAGATCCTGGTTGCCGGAACCAGTGCCTACTGCCGTCTCATTGACTACGCCAGAATGCGCAAGATCGCTGACTCCGTCGGTGCATACCTTGTCGTTGACATGGCCCACATCTCCGGTTTGATCGCCGCCGGTGTGATCCCATCTCCGTTTGAACACGCTGATGTCGTCACCACCACCACCCACAAGAGCTTGCGAGGTCCTCGCGGTGCTATGATCTTCTACCGAAAGGGTGTCAGGTCCGTTGACGCTAAGGGCAAGGAGACCCTTTATGAGCTCGAGGATGCCATCAACTTCAGGTAACTTAAGATCTTCGTTCACTGCCTCATAAGATGACCATTCTAACGTTTGCCTTTTTAGCGTCTTCCCTGGCCACCAGGGTGGTCCCCATAACCACACCATCACTGCTCTCTCCGTTGCTCTTGGTCAGACCTTCACCCCAGAGTTCAAGCAGTACCAAGCACAGGTCATCAAGAACGCCAAAGCCTGCGAATCCGAATTCAAGGCTCTTGGTTACACTCTTGTCTCCGGTGGAACTGATAGCCATATGGTCCTCCTCGATCTCCGTCCTAAGGGTCTTGATGGTGCCCGTGTCGAGATAGTTCTCGAGTATGCCAACATTGCTTGCAACAAGAACTCCATCCCTGGTGACAAGTCTGCATTGACACCCTGCGGTATCCGTATCGGTGCCCCTGCTATGACCAGCCGTGGGTTCGGAGAGGATGACTTCAAGAGGGTCGTTAGGTATATTGACCAGTTGATCAATATCACAAAGGAAGTTCAATCCGAGCTGCCAAAGGAAGCCAACAAACTCAAGGACTTCAAGGCTAAGATTGCCGAAGGCATTCCAGAAATCCAGGAGATCCAGAAGGAGATCATCGGATGGGCTTCTACTTTCCCACTCCCAGTTTAATTTGACTATTTCTGTACGACAAAGTAGAGAAATGCAGCGATAGCTTAGCTTGCTGTATAATTCCTTTTTTTCTACCATCTATTTCCTATTCTATCTTGCTTCGAGCTTCTGGGTTTTGCGGGGTTTCAACACACATGCGTACTTATTTTATCTCTTCTTGGGTATCTTGACGACAAAAAGGCTGGTGTTCTGGGGGATATTCCAGGGAAGGAGAACCGAAAAAAAAAGTGTATTCAACAACCATGCTTCTAGATAAAGGGAACGATTATCAGATTGATATCAATTGAATATCCTCTTGCATCCTAATTGAGATGCGAAATGACATGAAGCTTGTTTCCTAAAAAAAAAAATCGGAATTTTAGTAAGCCTAGAAGATCCCATGCTTGAAGATTTTGGATATATACCTTCATCGTATTCAGCCGGACTTAAAATCTCATAATTTTTTTGTTGGAGATGCCAGAATGGATGAATCCTAAAGGCGGCCTCGCCGACCTACTGTCCCTTCGCGTCTTTAACCGCCTCCAACCCCCGGATCCTACCTAGGACCTCCCTCTGCTTTCGAATCTTCTCCTCTAGAGCCTTTATTTCATCTTCTTGCTGCCCAATTGACCTTGTGATGTCCGGGAGATCATTAAGTATGGCCCTTGCCTTCTGGATCTTGATTCTTATCCGTGAAGCTTCTGCATCGACATCCTTCGGTTCGATCGGAGGAAGGTTTGTC